AAAAAAAAAAAAAAAAAAAAAAAGACAAGACTGCAGAAACTCTGCATGCCTCAAAGCCCCAAAAGCACACTCCTCCTGTTCCAGGGAGGCCTTCCACCCATAGGTCTCATGGCTACCAGGCCTGAGAAGGACACCTGCTGGGGGAGGGGCCGGCTCAGAGCGGCATCTGGGATGCAAGGAAGGCTCCAGGGGGAGCCGCCTGAGACTCCAGCCTGCTGTCTCAGAGCAGGATTCACCAGCACTGGACTCCGGGCTTCCTCGTCGCCTTGGAGACGCTCAGTACATGCGTAGGTGTAAAAGTGGGCAGAGTGAAGATTTCATTTATATCATATAAGAAAAATAGTCCCCTGTGCAAGGTACCTGCAGGAGCAAGAGCCTCTGCCACTATGTATGTTCCCACTGCTACTTCACAAGGAGCTTCACTGCATTCATGCAGAGGAGGGATCCAGGCACATATTCTAAGTGCTACAGTCAGGAGTTCCTGAAGCAAGAGACTGATCAGACAAGAAGGTTCTGGCTGGGAGATGCACAGGCTGACAGGGAGGCCAGAGCTCGTCTTGGGAAGGCAGTGCAGGAAAATTATGATGGGAGAGGCAAGGGAGTTGCCTACATTTAATCTTGAAGTAGCAGCAAACCAAGAGAAACCAAATGGAGAAACTAAGTAGTGAGAATGCCACATAATTTACCCCATTTCTCTAAAACTAGGAGAAGTGATAGTTTTAAAATAATCAAGCCTCAGAGAAGCTACAGTCAATCCTCATTTGAGCACAAGAGAAGATGTTAAACATCTTGAAGAAAAACCCTCACACACACCTCTCATACAAGCAGGCTTGCACGAGTGTGCTGGTGACAGACAGGAGAGAAGGCAGACCTAAGTTTTCTTCTCAAGGTGTACACTGAGCTGGCTCTATACAATGATTACATCCTTCAAAGTTAGCAGCCGGGATCCAGACTCAGTTTGCTGGTCTGAAGGTGAAAAAAGGTGATTCATGCACATGATGTCTTTCCAGACTCAACATGAGATTTACACACTAACACAGCAAAGCCCAGCCTCTCAGCATTGTTTCACACAGAGCCTGCTACAGTGAGGAATCAAAGGCAGAAGCATGAGAAGAAAGGGGTTGAGAACTCACAGGAGCACAGGAAATTTCAGTCGGCCACCTTACGAGAGAACACTACTAGACACAGATGAGCAAACTGGTTTGTGAGCCTTCGCCTCAGTGTGAGCATAAATGGGCAAGAGAGAAGAGACAGCACTCGTGCAATGCACATCGGCTTTTGAATAATCCAGTCATCCATTGGCCTTACAAATATGCTAACAATGTCAGAGCAAAGTAGGAACTCCTCCCAAATAAATAAAGACAAACTTTAAAAATCACCTTAGATCTCAAATTTTCAAGCCTAATTACTTAGAGTTTATAACATGAAGACAATTTCTTATTTTCTGTAACATATTCTGTGGTGTGATCTAGACTTTAAAGTGTCACATGTGAGAAAGAAGAAGAAATCTTTAGTATTTATAGTTAAGTTATAGACTTAGACATTAGATATAGATCTCTGGTATTTATCATTTATACAAAGTAAAAAAGTTTATTATCAAGACTTGGAATGGCTCATGGGACCCCTCTGGAAGCTGCAGCACAGTTCTTGGTGTTCTCCAAACATGATCATGTGACAGTCACTTTCACCACAGCAGGTTCGTGTCCATCATCTGAGACTCCATGGCGGAGACCTCAGAGACAATCTGTCTTTCAGTACACCCATGCAGAGGGGATGGACTGCTCTTGTTTTCCTAGCAGTGTCTTAATCACACCTGGAGAAGAGTCTTTGAGATCAATCTTTGAAGGTAAAATTAGATACTCAGGATATGGAATGGTGTGTGGATATGTGTTTTTGTGTATATGGGGCAGAGGGGAGGAAGGAGGAGAGAATAAAGGAGAGAGAAGAGAGGAGAGGATTTCTGCATGTTCAGGATATGAAGAAATGAAAAAAATTTCTCTTTTAGAAAAAGGAGGGCCACAAGGAGAGCCAACATTTTGGCTCTAGCCTGCCAAGGTCAATTAAGACTCAGCACATATGAGAACTTGTACTGTAACGTCATGTAACTCGGCAGTGTCCCAAATTTTCTGATCACGGAGATTACAGGGCCAAAGAGGAAAGTGATCAATGATGTAGAATGTGTCTAAGGAGAGTCACATGGAGAGAAAACATTCTCTCAGGCTTTCAGAGAGAGCACATTGGCCAAGCAATGGCCCTGACTCATCCACATGGCTGACACTGACAAAGGTTCTACAATCTGAGGTACAGGATCTCAGGATAAATCCTGAGGGAATTTCACTGACCTTCTCAGACCCAAAAGCTACAACTGTTGTTGCATAGGTCTTGCTTTATCTTGGTCTTAACCATCCAGTAGAAAAGTATAAAAACGAAATATAAGAAGTAAAACCATGCTGTTATGTTGAGCTATAGGGGACTCAGGTCAACAATTTCTGACATAACCAGTGAAGTGGAAGACCCAATACTATTATGGACTACTGGACTCTTTTAGAATATTTTGCTGAGTTAACACACCTATAATATTCAAACAATGGAACTAAACAAAAAAAGGGGATACAGATGAATGTCCATTTTGTATGTGTATTCAAAATGGTTAGAATAGACATATAGTTACATTCTCTTAATGAATAGAGGGATTTGTTCTAATAGTGTTTGTAAATAGGATATCATGTCTGCATCTTGTACAGCAATTAACCACTAGGAAGAATGTATGCAATGTGTTAATTATTGAAACTGTCCTGCCAATTTGGTTTGAAACTGTCTCATTGTTATTTGTTTCTCAATAAAATTATGGGGAAAAAAAAAGAAAAAATTTCTCTTTTAAACAGCAAAAAATTCACCCATGATGCAAGTTTC